AATTGAGTTTGAGATTATGAGTTTCAAATTCACATTAATGGAGTTCTCTTTGTTTCATATGAGATCATTTCAGACCTTTGTTTTATTTGAGTACTTTCTTAGAAAGTATAAACAACCAGGGATTGAAGAGAAAGAAAAAAAATATAAAAAGAATGGAAAAGAATTATTCTCATATATATATATTTCGGCATTCCAAGTATGTAGGGGAATCCTAAAGCTTGGGTTTTGTTCACTCTCATTGATCATGAGTACCCATATCAAAATATTAATGTAGAATGATGGTATAATAGGAAAGAGAAATAACAAAATTGATTATAAAGTATTAAAAAGCAAAAGGGAATGTAAGTGGAGAAAAGGAAAGCGGGAAAATCAACTCCCAAAATATAGATTGTGCATTGCAAACATGAAGGAAGTGGTCTCTATCTTTCCAAGCAGAACATATCAACTCCAAACAACAAGATCTTGGGACTTTATGGGTTCCATGAGAAAAGCAATCAAACTGCCATTGTTGGGATGATTTCTTTTCTTTTCTTTTCTTTTTCTGTAATTGCAAGTTGGGGTGGAGGGTGACTGTGGGGTTGTAGCTTGCGGGTGGTGGGCATGGGGGAATGGGGGGAGAAGAAATCGGTGGGGAAGAGGGAGAGCACAAAGGGGAAAGAGAGAAAGAGTTTCATTTATAAAAATTTAAGATTTGTTTTCTTTCTTTTTTTTACAAATATTTTATTCATATAATGTTGGACCCGTAGTACCACGTAAGCAACTAATGGAGATATATGACGAAACCCTAATGACGGCATCACATTGTCACAAATTTAAAAGACGGGAGTATGTGATTATAAAAATTGAGAAGATAGGGATTAACATGTCTTAAGAGTGTAACCACAAGGTACTAAACTATAATTAACTCTTTCTTATATTGTTTCAAACCTTTCATCTCTATTTTCTTTTTCTTTGGATGGTAAAAAAGAAAGGGTCTTTGGATATCAAAAAGGAGGAGGAGCTCATAAGCTTCAAAACCCACAAAGTTTACCACTTTGCAATTTGAATGCACCAACTTTTGACTTGAACCAACTAACTTTTGAACTTTGCTTATCGGCAGAGACAGAGCAGCCGCAGAGGTAGGTGGGTGAAGCAAAAGAGCCGTCACATGAGCAACGGCGTCTGTTTCTGTTTGTGTAGGTGATATTTGAAGTCGGTTTTACCAAATTGCCCTTTCTTTGACCCATTATTAGTAGCAACCAATGTTTTGTCCTTTACCAAGTGCAAGTCTTATAAGATTTGGTGTGGCTGCTTGCTCAATTATATTTTCCAATTTTTGATTGTCGTTTATCAAAATATATTATGAATCTGATAATGTTTATTTACGGGAAAATGCTAGGGAGACCAACTTGGGAGACCAACTTGGGATACCAACTCTCTAATAGAGCGTGAGACCCATTGTATTGGTGGGCTCCACCTCTATTAGAGAATTGGTACCTAAGTTGGTCTCCCTAGCATGACCCTTATTTACGGTCCCCAATCTTACATGTATTTGATGAGAGTCCATAGTTTTTGGGATTTGGATCATTGGGATGGCAAGTAAAAACACGTCTCTCTTCTGAAAAGAAAAAGTTAGGTTTGGATGGTGTTGATTTGAAACCCAAAGTTAGGTTTGGATGGATGGTGTTGATTTGAAACCCAAGTACAACTTGTTGCTTTGCTTTGATACGAGATTGTTGGTAGGGTCAGTTCAATTCGTCTAGTGTTAATCAAATCAACTATTATTACTTGGGTTATATTATTAGAATAAATTATTCGGTTTGATTGTTGAATTGAATTACGTCACTCAAACGACCACACACATAAAACAACAGAATCTTATGAATTTTAGTTCAATCCGGCTCCAACGCTAGTGTCCCTTCAATCCCTTCAACGTATTTGTCGACAAAAGGACTTCTTGTTGGTCCCTCTCCTTAAAGCTTTCCAAAATGCTTCAAATGTTTGATTTGATAATTTGGAAGGCAACAAATAATAGGTGTCTCCTTAATTATTTATATTTTTTCACTTTTCATTTGTTTTATTTGGTTGATGTCAAGAAACAAGAAACTTGAATAGGTACACTTTAAATTATATTGTTGAACACATTAATTTTGATAATGTGTATTTTTTAGTTACATTTAATATGTATTTGTCTTATAAAGTTTATTGAAAATTAATCAATAGAAAAAAAAAATCATTAGAGTTTAAGCTAAAAAATTTAGCTAGCTCACCCATCGAAAAATTCCTAGTTTCGCCCTTGCCTCGCACCATCCTCCTAGTTAAGCCACCACCCCACTACCCAAACCATCCCCAAGCCTGGCGCCACCATACAACCACCTACATCCCAATTCGAGATCCACCCCTGCCCCTGTCCAAATCCCAGCCCCACCTGAGAAGGACAAAATTAACCAAAATTTGAGAGAGAGAGAGAGAGAGAGAGAGAGAGAGAGAACGCAGGTATAGAAAGAGGGAGAGGAGGGAGAGAGGCAAATAATGGGTCTACGAAAGGGGGAGGGGCGCGTTAGCCGGGGGATGGCTGACATGTATTTTTGTTTTAATCTTTTCTATTTATAAAAAAGACTTAATTTTCTTTTGAAAAAGGATTTTAAGTATTAAAATATTTAAGATATATCATATATTTTTTTATCTAAAGCCATGTGAGCAATTTAATATAAATTTTGATGGAACCTAACGGCATGATCAAATTGATGTGCGATGTGTAACATAAAGGACCAATAATGTCAGAAAAAAAAACATAAAGGATCCAAGGTGATAATTTCGTCAATCTCGAGGACCATTTGTGATTATATTAAATAGATAAATATAAATAGAAAATTGGAAACGAAAAAAAATCTCTCACCCTCTCTCTTCCCCACCCAGCTAACCCTAACTATGATGAAGGTAGGAGCCTTTTTGCTGCTGGGAGAACTAGTACTACTGGGCATACAAAGAGTTGTGCCAGAGGCCATTACGTCTTCGACGACGCACATATCTCCTCCTCAAATCGCCGACCTCACCATCGGAATGAAGGGGTCCAGATCTATTGGCTCCCTGTGTCGCCGACCCCACATTGAGACGGAGACATAAAGAGAGAGGGGAGGTGACTGGGGCTCTGGTAGTGGCTGGGGCTAGGAGGAGAGGACTGAGGGAGAAGGAGGCGGCTGGGTGGTTCTTTGGGCAGTGACATATTGCCCTTGTTTTTAATTAATTTTTTAAAACTATTTTTAAATACAAGGAATTGTTTGTTATTGTTTGTTTTTTTTTAATTTAAAAAAAGGAAATTCACTATTATACCCAATATAGGAGCCTAAATTATAAAATAAAAAAACCATATATGAAATGGACTTTAGAAACGCATCCAAGTTCATTTACAACATAATAAAAAGACTTTTAGCTTCTTTTAAATTACAAAACTGCCATTGATTTCTTAAAACAAACTCAACCCCAAAATCTCAAAAAAAAAAGAGTGCTGCTATTTCCATCCCCTTGTCTTATTTCCCCATCCACCTTATCTTCAAAAAATTTAAGACAAATTTACTCCTTTGTAAAATGACTTTTAAGGACTTAAAAAAAATATTTAATATTTAATATTTGACATTGAAATGATTTCTCCCATAAATCCATCTCTTTCTTTCTCTCTTCGAATGAACCCATCCCTAACAGCTCTCATCCTCTTCCCCAAACATCCCATCTCTATATGTTTTTGTTAACAAAGGGAGAAACTCACGAATAGGTGGAATAGTATTTTCAGCTAGCTCACGAGCTGAGACCTCAAAGAAGATAGGGACGAAACCCGCAAACTCAAGGCCAAGCAGAAGAAAAGTTTTCGAGGATGCCATATTGATTTTGCTAATAATTCAGAAGACAAGATAAGACGTGATTGTTGAGTGAAGATATTGGGGCTTGGCTCTCACTCATTTTAATGTTCATCTTTCATGTCTCTCACTGTAGAGTGATTATGAAAGTCATTTTCAATTTCGGTTTTGGTTTTTATATTTACATTGGTAGTCAATGATGGTGGAGACCTTGGGATGGGATTGCGGGGCTAGCACTAGAGGGGTGGGTTTCATTCAGCTCGTCAATGATGAAAGGGTATTTTAGGAATAATGGTTGGTGGAAAGATAATATTGTGTTTTTTCAAATTTACATGGTGGGTGGGAAGATAAGGTGGGTGGGAAAATAGGACAGAGGGGTGAAAATAGCAGCACTAAAAAAAAAACCCAAAACGCTCAATAGGGTATCAAAGTAATTTAATAATTAAAATTAAATTCAATAGGGCAAGCTGTTATTTTTTGGGGTTTTGTTTTGGGTTTATTTATAAAAATTAAATTGTGTAGAATTTATCTATATTATTAGTGCTAAAAATGGGTATATGACTAAATATTTCTTACAAAAAAAGCTTTCATGTTTTGACACATCAGCATTTAACAAACTTAGGAACAATTTGTGTAATGAAGTAGGTAAATTGTAGGTTTGACGGGGATTTGAGTACGAACTTGTAAATGTCTCTAAAGATGAGTATGAGCTTAAAATTATAGTTTGGAGTCTTTTGTAATTTGTCCTAAATTGAAACGTGAAATCCACCGAGCTGCTGCATGTGTCTGTACGCGGAAATCCGCAGGGCTACATACATAATACATTACATGCCAACATCTTATCTTCACTATGAGGTGAGGTCATAATAATGCTCAAGTCTGGTCCACTATAAATATTATATTATATTTATAATGAATATTGGAATGCCAGACAGGGCTTTTCATATATGTTTTGAAGAAGACAAAATAATTCCACTTGGGACCCAAAAAGAAGATAAAGAGTGTTTATTCATACAACAAATTAAGAAAGGAACAGCAAATTGTTGAAAAACCATTGTCTTCTTCGAACAAGAAAATTTAGAATTGAATTATCCAATAGCATTGCAAAGATGAGAATCTAAATGGAACAGCAAATGTAAATGAACAAAGAAAGATTTTAGTGGAGGGCTTAATACAGTATAGGCTTGTTGCCAAATTAGGAACATGCATACATACCACACAACATATCAACATTTAGGGCATCAGTAGAATTACAGGGATGGTTTTCAGCATAACAAAAATATATACACTTGTCCATCATAGTCGCTCATTCAGCTCTCTCAGACGCTTACTTTGACGCAGTTGAAGTGGTTGAGTCTCGGTACTACGTTTCACCGAACTTCTCAAACTCTTCTTCAGTGTTTCCAGCATAGCTATCTCTGTTTCCACTTCCTTGGTTAAGAATTCAGACTCGAGGTTGTTATCTTTGAGGCATTGAACCACAGCTCTAAAATCAGCAATATGCTTGTGTACAAGCTGTTGTGAATTAATACTAACTCACTTCCCTTTAGGACCTTGTTGTTGATGAACTTTGTGACAAACTTAATGATGGATGAGTCTTACCCACACACAGAAATTTAACCAAATAGAAATGACACAAGTGTTTATAGAGGTTCAGCAAAGTGCCTACTTCCTCTTTTGGTGATCTCCTTGAGAACTTTCACTAATGAAGATAGGTTACAACTTTGGTTTACAAAGAAGGAAACCCCCTTAGAACTCTACCCTCACAATCTGTTTCTCTCTCACCCTTGCTCAACAACTTGATACACTTAGAGAACTCTCTTGCTCTCCCCTTGGTATTTTCTGAACTTACAAGTTTCCAGCTTCTATACAATTCTCTATACTTTGCACAGACTTATGCACTTAACAACTTAATGTTCTCTTGCTTCCTCTTCCCTCTTATATAAGCCTTTGGACTCCAAGATAAGGTATCATTAAGTTCTGCACGTTCTTGCTTTAGTTACACACCTTTAGACACCTGTTCTTGGCAGCTCACAAAGCAAGGGAACAATGGATGATAGCTGCCACATATCTCTTGAACCAAGAGAGTATTCACTCATTGAAGCAAGTCATCAATTTGCCAAAGTGTTCTCCCCATCTTTCCAGCTGCTTGCCACCTTCTAATATCTCAGAATTGATCAGAAATATCCTTGCAAGTCGATAGAAAGTGATAGCACACAAAGGAAGACTTGAAAACGCGTAGAAACTGAAACAGCAAAAGTCGGGGCGACCGGTCGCCAGGAATATGCGACCGGTCGCTTTGCCTCAGAGTCTCCAGACTTCGATTTTCTTCTCTGAACCGACCGGTCGCTTATAACATGCGACCGGTCGCTTTGGCACTGAGTCAAATCTCCACCATGGCGAGCTTAAAACTCCTTTGTGGACATCATTGTTTTTCCAGGACATCTTTAATTTCTTGAGAATCGTCCGGATAACTCTCAAGAACTCCACCTCAATCTTTAGCATGGAACAAGATTGAGCAAGCCCAAACAATGCTTGAACTTTGATGTTGTGACTGGCTTTGTTAGACAATCTGAAGGGTTCTCCGTTGTATGAACCTTCTCTATCATGACGTCTCCATCTTTCACCCAATCCCTTATCCGGTGGTATCGGACATCAATGTGCTTAGATCTTCCATGAAATACTTGATTCTTCACTAGGTAGATTGCACTTTGACTATCACTTTGTATCACCACCACCAAGTCTTGGGCTATCCTGAATTCCTTAGCCAATCTTTTCAGCCACACTGCTTCCTTCGAAGCTTCCGTGAGCGCCATATACTCTGCCTCTGTAGTAGACAAGGCACTAACCGATTGCAACACCGCTCTCCAACTAATCGGTCCTCCACCACAAATGAAGACATATCCCGTGGTGGATCTCCTCTTGTCTAAATCCCCTGCATAGTCAGAATCTACATACCCTGAAACACATGCATTACCTTGTTGTTTTTCAAACAATATCCCAAGCCTCCTTGAGCCCTTCAAGTACCTGAGAATCCACTTCGCTGCTGTCCAATGAAGTCTACCCGGATTCGCCATGTATCTTGACACCACACTTACGGCTTGAGCTAAGTCGGGGCGTGTGCAAACCATTGCATACATGAGACACCCTACCAAGCTTGCATATGGAACTTTGCTCATTTCTTCCTTCTCATCATCCGTAGAAGGACATTCCTGCGCACTTAATTTGAAATGCTCCGCCAAAGGAGTAGACACAGGCTTGCAATCCATCATATTGAATTTTTCAAGTACTTTGGAAATGTACTTACTTTGTGATAGCCATAGCTTGCCTGCGTTTCTGTCTCTCCTTATCTCCATTCCTAGGATCTTTTGTGCAGAGCCAAGATCCTTCATGTCAAACTCCCTTCCAAGCAATGTCTTCAATTCCTGGATTTTTGACATATCTTTACATGCAATTAGCATGTCATCAACATAAAGAAGTAAAAGGATGAAGTTACCATCCTTAAATGCATGACTATATACACAGCAATCTGATTCACATCTTCTATATCCAATCTTCATCATGAAAGAATCGAAGCACTTATTCCACTGCCTTGGAGATTGCTTCAGCCCATATAAAGACTTCTTCAACCTACAAACCAGATCTTCCTTGCTTGCTTCAATGAACCCTTGAGGTTGGCTCATGTAGATGTCTTCCTCCAAGTCTCCATGGAGGAATGCAGTCTTCACATCCATTTGCTCCACCTCTATGTTCTCTTGAGCTACTATGGAGAGTAGCAGCCGTATAGAAGTATGTTTCACCACCGGTGAGAAGATTTCATCATAATCAACTCCCTCCTTTTGCAAGTATCCTTTGGCCACCAATCTAGCTTTGAACATGGTGGCTACCTTCTCATGCTTTTCTTCTTTCTTCCTAAACACCCATTTGCAGCCAATAACCTTGCGATTTTTGGGTTTAGGAACTAACTCCCAAACTGAGTTTCGGTGTAGAGATTCCATCTCTTGCATCATAGCTTCCATCCAACCTTCCCGCTCTTCATTCTCAACAGCTTCTTGGAACGTGGTTGGTTCTTCTTCACTTGCATTTAGGGCATAGTGAACTGAGTCTGTGTCCCATCCAAACCTTTGAGGTGGTTTGATGGTTCTCCTGGGCCTGGACCGAGCTATAGATGACGGCTCCACCTGATCTTGAGCCTCTTCTTCTTCTTGAGTTTGTTGTTGATATTGCCCAGCTTCTTCCTCCTCTATGTCAGACTCCTCCGCCTCCTGAACGTCTTCAGTTGGCTGTTTTTGTGAAGTCTTCCTTGACATCCTTTTGAGTGGAACTTCAATGATTGTTTCTCTCCCAACAACATCCTCCTTTGCTTCTGAATTCTTGACTTTGTTCATAGGCATGGTCTTTTCATCAAACACAACATCTCTGCTGAGTATCTTCTTGTGGTTCACTGGATCCCATAGCTTGTAGCCCTTCACACCGCTCTCGAAGCCGATGAAAATACACTCAAGTGACTTAGGCTTCAACTTGGATCTTTCATCACTAGGAATAAGTGCAAATGCACTACATCCAAATCTCAAAGCCGATGAAAATACACTCAAGTGACTTAGGCTTCAACTTGGATCTTTCATCACTAGGAATAAGTGCAAATGCACTGCATCCAAACACTTTAAGATTAGTTAAATCTATTGACTTATTTGACCATACCTCCTCTGCACATTTGAACTCAAGATTTCTTGAAGGTGATCGGTTAACCAAATAGGCAGCGTGGTTAACTGACTCCGCCCAAAATGATTCGGGCAATCCTGCATGAATCCTCATACATCTCTCACGCTCCATGAGAGTTCTATTCATCCTTTCCGCAGCTCCATTTTGTTGGGGCGTCTTCTTCACGGTAAAGTGCCTCTTTATGCCTTCGTTTCTGCAAAACTCAAGGAATTCATTGCCATTATATTCACCACCATTGTCACTTCTTAGGATCTTGATCTTTCTTCCGGTTAGGTTCTCCACTTCCGCCTTCCACACTTTGAATTTGGTGAAGACCTCAGATTTCTCCTTCATGAAGTAGACCCAAACCTTCCTGGAAAAATCATCCAAGAAAGTCACGAAATAGCGAGCTCCACCCTTTGATTTAACCGGTGATGGCCCCCATACATCCGAGTGAATATAATCTAACACCCCTGTGCTTCCTTCTTCTTTGTCTCGCAGCTTGAAAGCTATCTTTGATTGCTTTCCCATGGTACAAAATTTGCAGAACTCCAGCTTGCAGCTTTGAACACCTTTCAACAACTTTCGGTTGTGTAGTTCCTGCATGCCCCTCTCACTCATGTGCCCTAGCCTCAAATGCCAAAGCTGAGTTTCATCCTATGAGTCCTTGCTTGTGGACACAGCTGCTCCACCTGTTATTGTTGTACCACACAATCTATATAGACAATTAGGTTAAACTTCTCCCTTCATAACCACAAGTGAACCTTTTGAGATTATGATTTTCCCTCCATTAGCCTTAACAGAATAACCATTCTTATCAAGAGTTCCAAGGGAAATAAGATTCTTACGCAACTTTGGAATATGCCTTACCATTCCAAGCGTCCTAACCGTCCCATCATGCATCTTTATCTTGATTGTACCGGTGCCTATGACTCTACAAACCGAGCCATTCCCCATCACAACTTCGCCACCTTCTTCTTTCTCATATGTGTCAAACCACTCCTTGTTTGAGCACATATGGTATGAGCACCCGGAATCCAAAATCCAATCGGAAGAGAAACACCTTGAAGAATTAGCATATGTATTAGTCTTAACATGGCCATTAACACATAAAAGCTCACCATCACTTTCCGTGACTTCTTCAGCTGTGTTTGCTGCATTCTTCCCTTTGTTTTTCTTCTCCTTCCATATGGGGCAATTCCTTTTCCAGTGCTCCTTTGACCCACACTCGAAACAACCTTCTTTCGCCTTGGATTTTGATCTTCCTTTGTTGCCTTTCTTGCCTTCACGCCTCTTTGAACGACCCCTCTCATCGGTCTTAGCAAATAGACCTTCACCTTGAGAGTTTTCTCCAGAACGTTGAGCCATCCTATGGTGCGTCATGATGTCTTGTAGCACCGGCTCAAAATCCAGAGTGACCTTCCCGAACATAAGAGTGGTTCGGAAGTGTTTATAGGACGGAGGTAAGGATGTTAGCAACATAAGTGCCTTATCCTCCGTACTATAAATAACTTCCATCCTTTGCAAATCAGCAACACATCTATTGAAACTACTTAAATGTTCCATTAGATTACCTCCTTCTTCCATCTTCAGATTTAGGAGTTCTTCCTTTAGGAAGAGCTTGTTGGACAGCGACTTCCCTGCAAACATCTCTTCGAGCTTCTCCCATGTTTGCTTCGCTGTATCCTTCAACACGTTGATGAGCACATCATCGGAGAGGTAGTTTTCGATGGCTCCTCTGGCTAACTCGTCAAGTACACTCCACTCCTCATCTTTCATGTCTGCTGGCTTCTTTTCCTTGCCAACTAACACAACATGGAGATGTTGTTGTGTAAGAGCAGACCTCATCCTTCGTTGCCAAAGGGTGAAGTTCTCCTTGCCTGTGAAAGGCTTTAGCTCCACCTTCATGCTTGCTGCCTGTGGATGCTTCACATGCTGTGAACTACTACCACTCTCAGCTTCTTGTTCACTTGTCATCTTCAACACACTAGCACTCCAAAAAGAACTAGCCCAGCTGCCAAAACACAGCTCTGATACCACTTGTTGTGAATTAATACTAACTCACTTCCCTTTAGGACCTTGTTGTTGATGAACTTTGTGACAAACTTAATGATGGATGAGTCTTACCCACACACAGAAATTTAACCAAATAGAAATGACACAAGTGTTTATAGAGGTTCAGCCAAATGCCTACTTCCTCTTTGGTGATCTCCTTGAGAACTTTCACTAATGAAGATAGATTACAACTTTGGTTTACAAAGAAGGAAACCCCCTTAGAAATCTACCCTCACAATCTGTTTCTCTCTCACCCTTGCTCAACAACTTGATACACTTAGAGAACTCTCTTGCTCTCCCCTTGGTATTTTCTGAACTTACAAGTTTCCAGCTTCTATACAATTCTCTATACTTTGCACAGACTTATGCACTTAACAACTTAATGTTCTCTTGCTTCCTCTTCCCTCTTATATAAGCCTTTGGACTCCAAGATAAGGTATCATTAAGTTCTGCACGTTCTTGCTTTAGTTACACACCTTTAGACACCTGTTCTTGGCAGCTCACAAAGCAAGGGAACAATGGATGATAGCTGCCATATATCTCTTGAACCAAGAGAGTATTCACTCATTGAAGCAAGTCATCAATTTGCCAAAGTGTTCTCCCCATCTTTCCAGCTGCTTGCCACCTTCTAATATCTCAGAATTGATCAGAAATATCCTTGCAAGTCGATAGAAAGTGATAGCACACAAAGGAAGACTTGAAAACGCGTAGAAACTGAAACAGCAAAAGTCGGGGCGACCGGTCGCCAGGAATATGCGACCGGTCGCTTTATCTCAGAGTGTCTGGGCGACCGGTCGCCAGGAATATGCGACCGGTCGCTTTGCCTCAGAGTCTCCAGACTTCGATTTTCTTCTCTGAACCGACCGGTCGCTTATAACATGCAACCGGTCGCTTTGGCACTGAGTCAAACTTTGCAACCTGCTGAAAACGACCGGTCGCTCATAACCTGCGACCGGTCGCTGGTCTTTAATTTTGTATCCTTTTAATTGAGCCATTTTTCTCAACACAAGCACACCCTGTGAGCAAACATAAGCCTTCAATTATATACATTTACATTGAGGATAGTCCTGGATTTAACTATTTAAGAAGCATCTATTGGATGTCCAAAGAAGAGTGAGGGTTCAGACCAAAAATAAAGAAAAAGGTCCTTCCAGCATTGCTGTCCTGTAAGACCTTTTTGCATCCTCCACATATTCTTTTAATAGTAATATTGGCTGGAACGTATCAATTAACTTGAAGGAGCAAATAAGCCTAACTGCCTCAAAGAGTTGCTTCCTTTCAATAAGATCCTGAACAAAATCTGTTATGTTCAAAACAAAGTTGTAGGACTCATCAAACTGCTCCAGAGAAGTTCCAATATGAGAATGGCATTAGCATAACAACCCAAACTTTAAGAAGTTGCTATTAGAAAATGCACTAACAGAAGTAAACATATTAAGGATGGGAAATAAGAAATTGGAATGCAACCATGATTATGCAAGCAAAATCCAGAATGCCAGTGATGCAAGAACACAATTCATGAAACTCTCATCCAAGGAGAGGACAACTGTTCCCAACAAACAAAATACCAAACCAATCAAAAGATACAGTTGTGTGGAAATTTACCGAGACTTTTGCTTACAATATATAAAAGATCCCAGCAAAATCAGTCTAGCCTGTAAACAATCTCTTAACTTCAAGTACATTTTCATAATATTATAGGCTTATCAATCATCTTCAAGCCATTTGCAAACACTCAACCAATTAACTCTGGAAGGCAGTACAAAACCAACAGAAAGATATCACCCTAGCACAATAGACACAACACAAGAATAGCATCTAGGACACTCATAGTTACAAACCCTATAGTCAAATTTTGGTAAGTTGCAGAAAGAAATTAATAAACATACAAGGAAGATAAGAGAAATGGTAGTGGAACACAAACATCACATTATGAAAGTCCATTTTTAAGAAACTTACCAGGGATCTTATCTGCAAAACCAAGTTCCTCGCATAATTCAAGAGCCTGTGCATGCTGACAAATCATCCCAAGAAGTATTACAATCTCATCTCCGTTTAAGGTTGAGAGCAATCCATATGCGGCTACAAACTGCAAAAAACCCAAAATCTCCAACGAATTTTCGGTATCTACTCTCATTTTTGCTTGCCACTGGACTGCTAGGCTTACTGCATCTTTTTTCGCATCAAGTCCAACATGCGGTTTGACTTTAGTTAGATCATTCAAAATGGAAATGTTCTTCTTCATGACAACTTCTTTGGAACCAACATGCCCAATTTTCCAGTGCTCAGTTAAAGATGCTTGCACCAGCTTCAAAACGAGTTTTGCTGGGTTTAATGACATTTGCAGAGCATCAAACATTTCGATATGCCTCGACTGTTTTCCACTTAAATGCTCATTTGGAGAGCCCTGCAAATTCCTTGCATCTGTGGTGGCACTTAGTTGAAGATTTGGAGAAGATGAAGTTGATGCGCTTCTGACCGGTAAACATTCTGGTTCCTCAATTTTGACAGGTAAAGAAACGATGTTGCCAACTATGCAATTGCAAAAAGAAACAAAGAAAAGGAAGTATAGTGAGTGAAAAGTTTTGAATTTAACATATCAAAATATATTTACAGCATTATGTGCTACTTGTGCTTTGACTCAAGTGGTAAGCAGTGTCGTGTGTGGGTAGGCATAGCCATTAGGTTCAAAACTTACCAAGCGAAACCAAAGGTAAATAACAAAATGCTTATTTTGCATGTGTCAGAAATCCGATGGCATTATGTGCAATTGGAGATTGAGACTGCCTAAAAGATCAATTTAGAAGTTTATGCAAACTTTGCAATATCAAGATCAAGGATGAAATATATCAAAAGAAGAGTATATGAGGCACCAGATATGTCTACTAAAGAGAAGAAAACATGCAAAAAATAACAACACAGTTATGAAATAGGGACAGATAAACTGTTTAAGTTTTTCAGGACAGCAAAATATAGAGTATTTACTTAATAGAATATACAGCCCAAAAATCGTTTGCAATATAAAATATCATCATGGCAGAATATAACAACAAGGTCCACAAGGTAACAATTGCTTTGAAATATGTTTAAAAATCATTGCTTGCAACAACTTCATAAAGTAAATGTCTGCTCTGCAACTCTAAAATGAAAAATATAAATAACATTAAAAAAAAAAAAAAAAAGACCTTACCAGGTGCCTTGTTTGTGATACCAAAGGCCTGGCAAAATTCAGTAGCCTGATCTTGCTTAACAACTATAGCAAGAAGAGCTTGAAGCTCTTTCGCATCATAAGCAGTGGTGAATTCATATGTAGAAACAAGCCGCAAAAAGCCCAAAATCTCCAACCAATTTTCAGTTGCCACCTTTATCTTAGCCTTCCAATCAGCTGCCAACTCCATTGCTTCTTCTCTCACATGAAGATTAATTTGTGGTGAGAATCTCTTCAACTCCTGTAGCAAAAGAAGACAACTCCTCCTAATAATTCTCAAATCATAATCAAACTCCTGGTTGTCCACATTCAAATTTGAAGGGTAAAACCCTTGCATTGCATCCAAAACCAGTTTCGCTGGGTCAGATGACGCCTGAAGAACACCTGAGATTTCTCTACCCACTAAGTCAATTCTCTTCAAATTCTCATTCATGAGCAATTGCAAGCCTCTACCATACCTGTTGGCTCTTGACTGAATACTGGAGGAAGAAGGAACATTGGTCTCCATGGATTTTCGAGTTGAATCAAATTGTTTTTTTTCCAATTCAAGCTCTTTGCCCTGTTCTTGCAACAACTTTTCTTCTGACTCCAAATGCTTTTGGCGTTCTTGAATCATCGAATCAAATTGTTTTTGTTTCAATTCAAGCTCTTTGGCCTGTTCTTGTAACAACTTTTCTTGTGAATCCAAATCCTTTTGGCGTTCTTGAATCATCAAATCAAATTGTTTTTGTTTCAATTCAAGCTCTTTGGCCTGTTCTTGTAACCACTTTTCTTGTGAATCCAAATCCTTTTGGCGTTCTTGAATCATCAAATCAAATTGTTTTTGTTTCAATTCAAGCTCTTTGGCCTGTTCTTGTAACCACTTTTCTTGTGAATCCAAATCCTTTTGGCGTTCTTGAATCATCAAATCAAATTGTTTTTGTTTCAATTCAAGCTCTTTGGCCTGTTCTTGTAACAACTTTTCTTGTGAATCCAATTCCTTTTGGCGTTCTTGAATCATCAAATCAAATTGTTTTTGTTTCAACTCAAGCTCTTTGGCCTGTTTTTCAAGTTGCCTCTCTTTCATTTCAAGTCCATGGGAATGTTCTAGTGCTTCTGAATCCAAATGTTTTTGGCGTTCTTGCATCAATTTTCTGAGTGAATCAAAATGATTTACTTGCACCTCAACCTCATTGAGGAATTCATTGGCCCTGTTATGAATCAAATTGAGTTCCTCAAATTTTGACTCAACTTGTTTGTTTCTTAATTCAAACTTCTCAACCCATCCTTCAAGTTCCCTCTCTTTCGATTCAAGTTTACAGGACCATTCCTCCATGGATTTCTTAAGCAAACCATAATCTTTCACCTTCAACTCCATTTCCCTGATTGTTTTCTCTCTAGATTGGAGTGAATTAGAGCATTGCACCATTACTTTCTGAATCAGACAAAGTCTCTCCTTTTTCAGTTTAATTTCCTTGTGACATTCTTCAAGAGATTTACCCGCTGCTTTAACCCCCTCTTGTTTCAAAACCAACACGTTCTTCTCCTTCTCAACAGACCCCCTAATCGCATTTAGTTGCCTCCGGTTCAACTCAATATCCTCACGAAAAGCGTTCAACACTCCTTGAGCCCCTGTCACTTCCTCCTCCTTAATCTCAAGCTCTGTGTTGTGCGGAAGCGTCAATCAAGTGCGAGTGAAAATAAACACAACTAGCAGGAGATAAAATAATGGACACAAAACAACACCAACAAGAACACCAAGATTTATACTGATTCGGCAATGCCTACATCCAGTTTGGAGACGACGGAGTATTCCACTATAATCAAATGAGAGAATACAATAGTGTTTAACACTCAGAAACCCAAGCCCCAAATATACCCAAGCTCACACACTCAAGAATATATAAGGAGAATACAAATTGAGAATAAATTTAGAGAAAAGAAAAACAACTCTTTATTTTTCTTTCTCTCTGCCGGCTACTCTCTCTGCAGCTCTTCTGCTCTCTCTGCTTCAGCTGCTGCATGCTTCTCATTTATAGCCAAGGAAGTTGGCTCTTCAAACAAACCAAAGGCCAAAGGCCAACCAATCAAGTAAGGTAAGCCATCAATGCTATATATCATTATGTCTCCCATATGCTGCAGTCCCAGCACTTTGTCTGCCAATGCCAATACTATATTCTACTTTTGACCGAAAGCAACTTTGCTTTTGAGACAATAGTCAACACTTTGGACCTCTCTTCCAAACTTTTACGAACCCAACACAATTTCTCAGTGCCCTCTTCGATGCTTTTTTGGATCAAATCACACTTCGTCTCCTTCTCTTTAACCAATTTCTCAACTTCCACTAGTCGTTTCTCTGTAACATCAACCTCTTTTCTTTTCTTTTCTGTCAATCTCTCGATTCCATGTAATTCCTGGGCTTTGGATTCCATTTTCGAGTGAAAGTTGAAAACTTTCTCTTCCAACTCCTTCTCGCGGTCCTCAAGCTCCTGGTATCGGGCCTGTAGCGAGTTCTGTTCCAAGTCAAACTGGTCTTGGAGCTCTTGGAACCGGGTCTGGAGCGAGTTACGTTCCTAGTCAAACTGGTCCTGGAGCTTTTGGAATCTGGTGTCAATGTGACCCAAAAGGCCCTTCCACTGCAGGGCGAGATTGCTCTGCTTCAATTCTGGTCCTTTCAGACCTGAGGCTAAATTTTCCATTTTTCGCCTCCTTCGTCTTTAAAAGACCCTAAATGTTGCGAACGCCATGTTAATGGAGAATAAAGACTCAAACTTGAAGAAAAATGAGAAAACCCTTGAGTGCCTATACGTCAGGGACGATTCATTTTCATTTTCTAAAAGAACCCTAAAATCAGATGCTGAAAGAGAGTGAAAGGCTATCAGATGATGACATCACATACCTTGAGTTTGGCGTTTCAGCTTGAAGCTTGAAATAGACGACTGTGGAGGAAGGAGGCCTAGCTTAGCTTCTTCTTCAACACAACGTTCACAAGCTCAGCGCTCTGTTATGACTCATGGCTCATGCAGGTCAGTCTCTACAACTACAAAAGGCGCTCTCAAATCCTTATTTCTCATAAATTGCATCTGAGCCGTTGGTTTAAAAGTTTGACAAACGGACAGGATTAGAATTAAAATCTTACTTCCGTACGGTTATCTGCTACCTGTTTGAGTTGGGATTTTTAGCGCTTAATTAATCTCCTGTTTGACGTGGGATTTTTTATTTTTGATAAAGCATCTTTACCAAAAAAATAAAATAAAAAATATGATATGCAATTCAAATTTATTTGTTTTGTTTATAAATGAGATGATGTCTAATAAGCCATAATCTTCTGCAGATGTGAAATAAAGCAGTGGATTAAGACATCGTATATTAGAGATCTTTGAATAGTTTAGAATATCGCTTTGTTAAAAAATAAAATAGAAAAAACCACCCCCATCTTTTTTATTTTGAGAAGTAAATCATTTCTAGTGTTTGAGTTAACAGCTACAAAAAGTTCATAGTATGGCTGCCTTTTGCACAATGTAAATAAAACCTATAATTTAGCATCAAATTAGGAAAAAGCATTTTATTTGACGAACCAAAGGGTTTGAACTTTGTACAACAAAACGCTTCCCTTGACGGTGCGTTTGGAGGAATTTATAAAGTTTATAGAATTTGTAAAGTTTCTTGTTTGGATGACTGATTTAAAATACATAATTTTACTTTTATTTGTAAAGCTATCTTCTGTTTTTTAAACTCAATTTCTCTTGGAATTTGAGAAATGATGACTTTTAGATAGAATTTAAAGTTGAACTTTATGAGCTCCAAATTTCATGTTTTTTTCCACCCGAAATTTTTAATTTCTATGTTTTTTTTTTCCAAACATGGAAATTGATTCATATCAATTTAGAAATTCTGACTTTTATCAAAATCCTAAGTTTATTTCCTTCATCCAAACACACTGTAATGGAAGTAACGCAAATCAGAAAACAAAACAGGCTGGATGCCAACCAAAAGTTGTGCCATAGATGCAAATGAAGGTCTCTAAAATCAGCACTATACAGTGGGACTGGATTTTCAGAATTCAATCCAATATAAACTGGTCCTTCAAAGTTTAAATGTGTGGAAGGTTCCTGCTATATATGATTAGGGTCATAACTATCGAGTGTTGGGCAACAAGTGATGGGAGTGAGGTAGCCCAGCATTCTGCATGGCACTAAAATTAGTGCCGATTTCATGGTCATTGTTGGCGGCAGCCATACGAAACCTTTCAGGGTGTCCATAAGTTTCATACAGCAGAGATGATGAACTTAACCCTACGGCAGCCATACGAAACTGTGCAGGGTGTCTGTAATTTTCATACAGCTGAGATGACGAACATAACTCCACTGCACCAAAATTAGCACCAGTTTCTTGGTTGTTGGCCACCATACCAAACTTATCTGCACCAGTTTCATGCAGCAGAGATGACGAACTTAACTGCATGGCACCATTAGCACCAATTTGATGGTCGTTGGCAGCCATACCAAACCACCCAGGGTGTCCATGGTTTTCATACAGCCGAGACGAGTCACTGTTGAAAGTTGGCAATGTATAAGATCTAGGAATAGCTGCTAGAGGTGTCGGATGACTTATATTTTGACGTTTCTCTGGTGGTTGAAACTTGGGGGCAGAAGTGCTAGTAATACGCTTCTTCCTTTCTTCATGTTCTCGTTGTCCCAACTTGGAGGTAAAAGATGTCCGTAAACGTCTCCAACTCTCCTTTAGTTTTCCCAGCTGAAGAATTTCTGACTCGATGTCCTTGGATGGGTATTCAGACTCAAGATTGTAATCTTTGATGCATTGAATCACAGCTCTAAGATTAGCTATTTGGTCTTTTACAACAGTATCCTGTGAGGAAAAATAAGACTTGATAGATGTATATTTACACTGAGAATGATCCTAAATTTAACTATTTAAGAAGCGTTATTTGATGTCAAAAGTATATGTACCTTTTCTTTCGACCAAAAAAAAAAGAGTATATGTACCTTTGCATTTTGTGATTTTTTTCCCATCCATTTTGTCCAGTACGACTTCCTTGCATCTTCCACATATTCTTTTAGGAGTCGTACTGGCGGGAACTTGTCAACTACCTTGAAGGTGCAAATAAATCTAACAGCCTCAATCAATTGCCTCCTTTCAATAAGATTTTGAATAAAATCTGCAACATGTAAAACAAAATTGCAGGATTGATCAAACTGCTCCAGATAAGTTTCAAAAGGAGAATTGCACAGTATCACCAAGCAAACGTAAAGAGGTTAATGTTAGAAAATGGATAAAGAAGCCATTGGGGTATAGCTCAGACAGTTGAGCTCTTCCACCTCCACCCATGTGGGCAGAAGTTCGAAAACCCCCAGGCACCTAATGAATATTTGTGTAAAACCCCCTTCCCCAATCACTTGTAATCAAAACAAAACCCAAAAAAGCACAAAGAAGAGAAAACATATGTAGGGTGGAAAAGAAGAAATCTGAACACAACTAAATAGAGGACACAGAATGCCAGTGATGTAAGAGGACACCATTCCCATCAAACTAAATATCAACCAATCAAAAGATAATTTGCAGAGATTTACTGAGCTTCAGAATCACAGTTATAAAACGTTCACTTAAAAATATATAATATATCCCAACAAGATCAGTCTGTAATAAATAATATCTTGCATAACCTCATTGTATATTTCCATAATTATATCGACTCATGAAGTTTATCATAGGTTTATCAATCACGTTCACACCATTTGCTAAAATTCGGCCCATTAACTTCTCAAGGCAGTATACCAACCCCAAGCTATCGCCCCAGCACTATGTACATAAGAATGGCATCTAGGACACTCATAATTACAAACACCAATAGCCAAAATATTGTGAACTGCAGATTAATGTAGTGGAACACAAACATCACACAATGAAAGCCAATTTTCAAGAAACTTACCAGGGATCTTATCAGAAAAACCAAGTGTCTGATGTAATTCTAGAGCCTGTTTATGCTGAGAAATCATGCCAAGAAGCTTTACAATTTCATCTCCATTCAAGAAAGAAAGCAATCCATATGTAGCTATAAACTGCAGAAAAGAAAAAATCTCCAATGAATTTTCAGAATCAGCTCTCAGTCTCTCTTTCCACTGAACTGCTAGCTCTATTGCATCTTCTTTCAAATGGTCTCCAACATGCGGTACGACTTTCATCAGCTCCTTCAACAGGGGAATGTGGATCTTCACGAGAGTTGCTTCGAAACCAACATCTCCTTTTTTCCAATATTGATCAAGAGATGTTTTCATCAGGTTCAAAACAAGTTTTTCTGGGTTGAATGACATTCGTAGAGCATCAAACATTTCGTTTTGTACTAAATTATCTCCACTTAAATGCTCTTTTATACACCCTTGCAAATTCCTTTCATCTGTGGTGGCGCTTGGTTGAAAATTTGGAGAAGGAGAAGTTGCTACATTTCTGACTTGTGAGGATTCTGGTTCCTCCGTTTTGACTGGGAATGAAAGGGTGCTACCTGCTATGCAATTGCAAAAAGAAACACAGAAAAGGAAATTCACTGGTTAGTAAGCAAATAATATCGACTTTAATATATCAAAAGAAATTTACAGCATTATGTGCCACTTGTGCTACTATAGATGTCTAGTTATTGACTTAACATGGGTAAGAAATATGATAAATAACCCATATGATTCTTCAAACATTTAGATTTTAATTAGAAGATCAAGTTTGGGACAGTGCACTCTAGAGAATTGTACTACAAGTGTGGGTGTGTATATATTCAGAACAAAAGAGTATAATACCAATAAGAAACTCAGATATAACTAGCAAAAATAAATATAAAAGAGCTTACCAGGTGCCTTATTTGTGATGCCAAGGGCCTGGGATAGGTCAGTTGCATCTTCCGGTTGAGTAACTACAGCAAGAAGACTTTGAAGCTCCCTCGCATCATAAGTAGAGGTAAACTCAAACGCAGTAAGAAGCCACAAAAAACCT